CAAATGTTGGCCTCTTCCCCCGGGATACCCGGAATGTGTCCGGATGAGGGTAAAGTGGTTCTTGGAACTAAATTTGAGTTCCATTGAACCATAAATTGAATTCTCATGTAATTTGATGTGTTGCATGATGCGGTTGACTTAGCTTGTAAGATATTATTGTTAGGTTAAGATCTATTTAATAAAAAAAACATATGTTAGTTACAAGAAAATGAAAAATAAAATTTATTGATGAAGTCATGTTTATGCTTCAACTGTTTTCATTTTCATTAATTTAAAACCCATTGAAAAAGAAAATGGTGGTGAACATTCGGGAGCGCGCCGGGGCGCCTGGGGGCGAACAAAATGGCCGAAACGATCAGTTTTTTGACAGGTATCGTTTTCGCCTCAGGCGCCCAAATGTTGCAAATATGGTCGCCCCCGGCGCGCCGGCGACCAAAATTGGACCAAGCGGCGCCGTGAGGTTCGAGTCGCCCAAGTCCGCCCCGTCCGCCGAGCGGTCCGGGGGCGAGCCGTGGGCGACTAGCCCGCTGTATGTGGGATTATCTTTATGCATGGCGAATCGTATGACATGACACACGTACAAGCTGGAACTCAAAGAAATCAAGACCAACAATTGAAATGGCCTTAACTCCATTTTGTAAACAAACCTTGTAAGGCCATTTTCTCGCGAACCGAAACCTTCATTCGCAAACCTAAACCACAATCGGGTAGAAGGAGAATTTCCCCTACCTGTTCATTATGTTGGTTTGCCTTTGCGGACTTTGGTTCGCGAGAAAATGGCCTTACAAGGTTTGTTTACAAAATGAAGTTGAGGCCATTTCACTTGTTGGTCTTGAAATAACCTGATTTCAATGAACTAAGGATAAGGGATATAAAAACTTCGAACAGGATATGAAACAAATTCAGGACCAATCAAAAGAGACCAGAAACCAAAAAGGCATCTAGGCGTTATATACTCGGAGAGGTATTTGATAAATACCCTAATAAAAATTGTATGGTTAATTTGCTTAACGACGTGTTCTGGGTATCATCCAAACCATTTGTGGAATAGTTCAATGATTTGGGTTATCGTTTGTTTATGGTTATTTTTTATTAGGGTAATCAATAAGCGGTAAGTTGAAATAATAGTGGAGCCAAGGATCATAAGAGGTAATTGTCAAGAATTCATAAATTAATAAAAATAACCATATTATCCTATCATAGATATTACTACTTTTAACATAACAAACGGGAATGCGCAACTATATTATCAAAACTATTTGACGAAAAAGAAGGAATGGGTGGTTTGGCCTTCAAAAAAAGCTAAGTACAATAGTTTTGTGTTGCGTTAAATGTAGAGGGTGCGGGTTTACTCGGGAATGGGATGCAGATTTTCCGGAAAAGCTGCAGCAATGTGGGTGACGTTTCCTCGAATTTGGGTGGAATTTTGCTCATTTGTATGTGGATACACTTTTTGCGCTTTTTGAGTGAACTGATATGAGCACACTGATAAAATTTCAAAGATTATTTTTATGTGTCCCATACATGAATTTTTGAAATGTGATCAACGAATTATATCTATTTGTCGGACGCATACTTAATATGTGTACACATAAAAGTCATGTGTAACCAAACATACAATTCTTTTGACTAATAAATTTTATGTGTGCTTCTGGGTGGATTCTGTTTATGTGTGGTCACATAAAAAAATCATGTGGAATTTCACATGGAAATTCGTCAATAAAAATGTGTGGAATTGTATTAGTGTAGCATTTTTTGTCCGAGTATAGAATGTTAGAGATAGGCGAGACAACAACCAATTGAAGCGTTTGTTGTAATGCCATCTAGCGTCAATTTTTTTAAATTCATAGATGTAATGATAGTACACGACTAGAAAATGGTTCCAAGCGACCACACGCTAACTTGAAAGTACCCATTAATGGGTAAAAAAAAGACCCATTTCTAAGAAAAGTGGCTTAACTCATTAAATGAGTAAACCCAATATTACTCATTAATGAGTATTTGATACATACTTCAAAAAATGGGTACTTTTTGGCTTTCATGTTCTTACTGGAGATGAATAAAAAATACCCATTTTATCAACAAAATTATTTTATGGGCTTCCTTCCGTAAATAATTTAACCAAATATTAAAAGTAGTCAAAAGAAAAACAAATAATAATCTTTTATATTGCAGTTCACTTTTCCTTACTTTTGATAGTTTGCCTCCTTTTCTCCTTCTTATGTTGCCAAAAACAATGAAAATTAATGAGATCTCGCGTCACTTTTCAAATCGACCAATGTAACAAAGGTAAACAAACCAAGTTAAGCGATACAAACTGTTGCTCTTCTATCATTGTATGTCATACAAAAACATCCATCCAAATTCACTTTCATTTATTTATGATAATCATAGGTAAAAAATTGTCCAATGTACAGTTTGAAATGATGGGTACATGATTGTTACCGAGATTGTTACTTCGTTCATTCGGACTGCCTAACATGATTGGTGCTCATTTTTCAAAGGCGGGGCCAATCTAAAGTTAGGTACTATACTCTGAAATCTGTGAAAGGGAATCTAGTATCATGCAGACAAAACGTCCAATGTAACACTCATTGATTATGTCATTGAGAAAAATCCTCCAATGTAACATGTCCGATGTACAACTCTACTTGTCAAAACGTCCTATGTGGTTTTTTCTATGTTGTAGCATGAAATTCAAAGTAAAATTGTGATTTTACCGTTTCTTCTGAATTTTCAACTTTATTATACACTGGCTAAATTAAAAATAGTATTGCAAAATGTATTGTTTTTAAACAGTTAAATTAATAATCTGTCGAACTTCAACTTCGATTTTCTCAAAATGGTGGATATGTTACATTGGTCTATTTGAAAAGTGACGCGAGAGATAAGATTAAATTTGTTCGTTTGTGGTTGTGTATGAAAAAAAACTGATTAAGGTTGTGTTGGTTCTTCCATGGTTATTGTATTTGATGGGCTTGTTCCAGTTATGTCGCTTTCGTTATTGCGGTGTAGCACCGGTGTAGTGTAAACAGGAATAAGCGCGAGTCTTTGACAGCTTAACATCATTAGTTTTTAATCAAAGGTGCATCCTATATCAACACCCTAAATTATTTCGGTGTACGGCAGTGTAGCACCGCAAAAACGAAAACGAAATAAATTTCGTATAATTTGACTGCATCACATGAACTTAAGTTTACTTTAATTGATTATGATTCAAATTGAAAAGACATAGAGGTTTTGGGCCTACGGGAGAAGAGGTAGTAAAATTATTTTCACTCCCGCGAGTTTTCTTCTCAATCAATAGAAAAAAGATAGAACACAACATATTTCCTTCCTTTTAATTAGCTACGGGTGTGACAACGATGGCGAGTTCACTATGTTATATTTTCATTTTATTTCAGCAACTTTATGATTCGGACAGCAATTTCGACATTTATAAAAAAAACTACATATGCCAGCAACACTGACTGGGTTTATCCTATGGCTTACCTTCCCTACTAACATAATTCCTAAATTCCCGAGACATTTATGAGGGGTCGTAGAGTTCTCTGCATCTCTCTTAGGTAAATGTTGGACTAACATACCTTTCCTATCCCTACCAGTTGTAAGGACGTGGCCTGGACAACCCTTAACTGTTGGAGCGGGATATGTCTTTATCTGGGAGATAGTCCCCTTTATTCTGCGCCGCGAGTGAGGTGAGGTGACTCGCTGTCACTAGTGAGGTGACACAAGTCACCGCGAGTGAGGTGACTCTCCGTACAAATCAAATGGAGAGTCACCTCACTCGCGGTGACTTGTGTCACCTCACTAGTGACAGCGAGTCACCTCATCTCACTCGCGGCGCAGAATAAGGGGGAGTAATTACTTCCTACTTACTATCTGTCCAGTAATAGATATTCGTCTTGCTCTTAATAGTTTTGAATTTGTACCACCTACGATATTGTGCAACTTGTTCGATGCTAATGCTAATGCTAATATTGGATTCCACTATTGTAAGAACACTACCGCAACTATAGGTGCAAAATCTACTTTATTTTTGGAGAGGTAACTATAAACAATAAATTTATCTGGTTTTCCATCATTATTCTGGAATAAACCCTATACCGCAACTATAGGTATACCACTATTATACTGGAACACCTATAGGTCATTCCGCCGGTTGTGTAATGTTACGTTGTACGATGTACATCGATTTTACGAACAAAATTACATCTTTGGATGTAATATTGTATCTGCTCTTTGCTATTATACATCATTATTTTATACATCAGCTTGAATTACGTTGATCGATATTAAATTTTTTTTGCTGTGTACTCTACACAGCAAAAAAATAATTTTGATATCACGTCAAAGTGGATGCACTACAATCATGTCGAAAATATGGTGTAATATTACTTGCTAAAAAGGACAAAATTATAATTAATACAATGCATGAACTGACATTACGCTGCTTTTACTGCATTTGTTTATTTATGTGGTCATAAAAATTACATGAAATTTTCGACATGATTGTAGTGCATCCACTTTGATGTGATATCAAAATTATTTTTTTGCTGTGTAGCTGTTTTACTCATTATTTTAGATATGTTTAAAACAATATCATCCCAAAGCCCGTATGTATGCGTGCAATGTTTTGGTTGATGCATGCATTCTACATCAGTATGAAAGTCAGTGCCAACATTTCAAAGGGGCGTAATTGCTTTTGTAAACAATGACTTTAGCCGTCAATTTCTCGTGAATGATATCTTACCTCTCCAAAATTACAATGCTAGCTGGTAGAGGAAACATTCCTCTACCTGGTGGTGTTATTATTTTTCATGAGTGAGCTTTTATTTGCGAGAAATCTATGGCTAAAGCCATTGTTTACAAATGCAATTACGCCCCTTTGAAATGTTGGCACTGAAGTAGGCAGTATGCTGCCTATGGTTGGCTATATATATATACAAGCCTCCATACTATAGGTTAGACACATATAAAACTGTCAGAAGCTGCTGAAGAAAAAATCTAGAGCACAAGCGGCCGTCACGTCGAGTCCTTGCGTGCCGTGGTTCTCCGAAACGAAAGAAGAAAAAAAAATCAATCACCGCACTCGTCAGTTCCCAAATGTAGGACGATGAATTTTCGGACAACCGGCCACCTGGCAGACTCAACCTGATCGGCTTCAGTTTCTCTTCAAGCTGTCCTCTCGGCTACCTACCTTCCTGCATCGCAATCGGATATAGGAATCTCTTTTCCTGTGTGTCCTTTTTTTTTTTTTGTTATTGTTGGTGCTGGATCTACGTGGTGTCTGCCGTATCTTTTCGATCACTGGAACATCGTCTATCAGTGCGTAAGTGGCAGAGCATTTCCGTCCCATCTATAGTTGTAAAACGTAAGTAGCTAGTCGGTGATAAGGTGGTAATTGTCGATTATGAGCAAAATTTCATTCATTTCAGGCGCCCTGGTGCAGTACTTACAACATCAATTTGTGATATCGAGTGTAGTGTGGAAGAGCGAGTGAGTAAGAGAGCATGATTAAGTTCCGCATCTCGTTGCGGCAGGTGTACGCGCTCACGGCCTATTTCGTACTGCTGGTGTACCTCCTGTGGCCGGGTCGGTTTGCCAGCCGGTATGAGTACATAGAAGGCGACGAGATCTACGAGCACCTGGTACGGAAGACGACAAAGAATGTGAGTCTGATGCGGAATGGGATCCGGTGTGATTACAGTGATGTGCTTGAAGAAAATGTGTACCTTTACCGGAGGCCTTTCACCGAAGAGATTATCAACAATAACGTTAGGCTGGGTGGCGAATGGTACCCGGAGGATTGTCTTCCCAGTTTCAGTACGGCAATAATTATCCCGTACCGGCAACGCGAGAGCCAGCTCAACCAGTTCCTGATCTACATGCACAATTATTTGCGACGGCAGAGGATTCACTATAGGATATTCGTGATCGACCAGTACGATCCGAAGCCCTTCAACAGGGCCAAGCTGTTCAACATCGGTGCGTTGATAGCGATGAAGCTGGACTATCCGTGTCTGGTGCTGCACGATGTAGATCTGATGCCAATGCAGTTGGGCCATCTGTATGCGTGTTCCCAACAGCCGAGGCACATGTGTTCCAGCTTGGATGCATTCCGGTACAATCTCCCGTATCGGGGACTGTTTGGCGGTGTGGTTGGGATTCAATCGCATCAGTTTATGAAGGTAAATGGGATGTCCAACATGTTCAGCGGATGGGGCGGAGAGGACGACGATTTCTTCGCGAGGCTGAAGAACAAGGAAATCGACATTTGCCGATTCAGTCCGGAGTACAGTCGATATACGATGCTGAAGCATCGTAAGGAGGAACCGAACAAGGACCGGATTGCGTTTCTGAGGAACGGACACTTGCGGTACCATTCGGACGGGTTGAACTCGCTGGTGTACAAAGAGGTGGGCTTTAAGCTGCACAATTTGTTCACTCACGTTCTGGTGGAGACGTAAGCGGGGGCGGGAGGTTTGCGATTGCGAAGAAGATATTGAGGTCCATTGAGGTCCCAGCTGGGGTAGTGTTTCAGGTAGAATTGTAGATAGCACGCGCGTAGTCATTTGTTAAGTGCAAATTTGTATTATACTTATTTATGAAGATACTTTTTGATGGTTAACTACGACGAGTAATGAATGGTCCCATTATTATTAAGCTTACCATGATATTCAATTTCATGATCCAGTCTGCCAGTAATTATATTTTAGAAAAGTAGGAATCTTTGGTTCAGTTTGCAAAATCGCAGTGAAATAGAAATATGATTCTCAACACCAAATGCTACTAGCACAACAATCTTGTGTTAATTTTCACAAGCGGTTTGATGGTGTTTCGTTTTCCACGTACAATTTTGTGGAATCTAACGTATGAGTATTAGGGGAACACATTTTACAATCTTAGAAACAAAATGGTTCTGCCTGTCTAATGTCGTTTTCGTTTTTGCGGTGTAGCTACACCGGTGCTACACTGCCGTACACCGAAATATTTTAGGGTGTAGATATAGGATGCACCTTTGTTTACAAACAAATGATGTTGAGCTATCAAAGACTCGTGCTTATTCCTGCTTACACTACACCAGTGCTACACCACAAAAACGAAAACGACATAAGTTGCAGCTTCTTGTAAAATTGCAGATAAGGATTTGATATTTTATCGTAAGTTAATTCGTATGTACCTACTGAGCGTGAGGTGATTGTGAGGTTTTTCTTATACTTATTGAAATTGAATCCCCCTATCTTCCAGATTTCTTCAACCATAAACATTGAATGCCAAAAAGTAGCTCATAAAGCCGATACATAGGCTTGACGTTAAATCACTGCCCATAAATGTAGATATGGCTAATGTGCCGGACACCAAATTCTGAGTAAACTAGGGTTTAAATGTGCTAAGCGATTAATCAATGAAATCTCGAAAATGATAAAAGTGGACAAGTTTTCATTTATATGGCATAGGTTTTTACGATCTGCACCCCTAAAAAATCAACTTTTCAATAATATTCTACTACAGGATCATCAACGGCGCCGGTGGTGTAGTGGTAAGCGTGATTACCTCTCACCCCAGCAGGCCTGGGTTCAATACCAGTCGGCGCCGCCGGGATGTTCTGAGGCATAACATCTCTGATCACGCCTTCCTTCGGATGGGAAGTAAAGCCGTTGGTCCCCGGTTCATGAGTTGATGGGTCGATAGGTAGGGTCCAGGTGTGGGAGCTGCCTTCCTGGCACGTCGGTAGCATTGGTGCTCAGCACGGAAAACAAGATCGACGGAAAAAACAAACCAAAGGAAAAAAAAATACTACAGGATCATGGGTAGAGATCATTCTTACCATGTGGTAATTTGGTGTTTTGGCAGCTCTACTGCAGGTGGACGCATAATTATCTCATGTTCTATTGAGTTCCATATACATATGGATGCACAATTATGCTTCTACAGGCAGTATAGGTGGTGTATTAGCCATTTCTTCATTTATGGGCAGATCAGCTGATTTGTTATTCCCTCCTCAATAAATGGTTCTGATTATTTCTGGAAGCCTGATATACAAAATGTGAGTGATGTATTTTCAAAAGTAGTTCTGACGTATTGAAAAGGTAATACGATCTCATGAATTCAAAGAATAGATTCTAAAGTTCACAAATTCTTAAGTCATCGGATGTGCATACGATGAGCTTGAGGGGTAGGTTCAGAGTACTTCATGGAGAAGTCTGATATTTTTTAGGATGGATTGTGGTGAACAGTCAAGCAGATATCGTGGGAAGGTTCTATGTACTTTAAACGTATCTTCATGTTCCAAAGGAAAGGAACTAGCAGCAATATGAGCAGAACTGCTCATAGTTCAAAGAAGGAATACTCCACTAGGAAAAGTCAAAACTATAAAATCCTTGAAAAAAAAAAAATCCAATTCCATATCCATCTATCTCCAAAATTCCGGAAAAGCTTCTAAGGACTTTATGTCGAAGAAAATTTCAAGTCCGGTGTCTTGAAATTTTATCAAAGTGCAGGATTTTTGCAACTGATGAAATCTTGACATTTTGTCCCCTGCCCATAAATGCATAACAGTACCATGTGACTTTTAGGCAAACATTAGTTATCTTCTAGCATCGGTTATGTATTTTAATACGTGCACATAAAAGGAACTATTTTGTTCTGAACTCATCGTAAAAAATACCAAAATTTGGTTGTTCCAGCCATATTATATGGTAAGCAAAAAAAAAAAAAAAAACGGTGTAACGCCGAAGATGATACACGAGAGAATTTGTTTGATGCAGGACTACGTCTGTGATTTCTATTTGGGGATGCACTTTGTGAAAACCGAAAATGGAACATGTAACAAAATTATGAAAGATATTGTACGTTAATAACTCAGCTGTCCCTGGACCAATTTCAATAATTTTATCATCAATCGATCAGCAATATTTCTACGCATCTGCTAAATTTAAGACTTTATCATTTTTCAAAATGCCACTATTGAAAATTGCCCGAATGTGCAACTGTTGCTATGATAATTAAAATTATTACCGATTGCCTGCGAAAAGCGATTTCCCTAACACAAATTTCAAAGTTGAATTCCATCCGGTTTCACTAAACGGTCGGTGTTTATTCAATCACCACGTGGTGAGTGGTGGTGTTCTCCAGTACACAACGAAAGGCTCCCCGCAAGCAGCTAGTTATCAAGGCTAATCGGATTCAGTTCCAATCACCGTGTGTGATGGTTTCCGGTCGTTGGCAGCAGCAGTGCTTTCGGCGCGTGGCATTGAACACTGTTCTCCAGTACACAACGAAAGGCTGCCTGCAAGCAGCGAGCTGCAGCCCACATGAGCATACATAGAAGGAGGAATAAACCACACCGCTATTGATCGGAATCAGTCCCCCTTATTCTGCGAGTCACGTGACTCTCTGTCACTGGTGAGGTGACAATTGTCACCTCGTGTGAGGTGACTCTCCATGTAAATCAAATGGAGAGTCACCTCACACGAGGTGACTATTGTCACCTCACCGGTGAGAGAGAGTCACGTGACTCGCAGAATAGGGGGGAGTAGCTCTTCGTGAGTCGCTGTGGGCCATCTATGCCAAGCGCGTCTCCCTCATTCCAAACAACATACAGCTCACCAGCCTCATCTGTGTTCAACACCCTAAAAGCTCAGCATTACTCAACCATCACGAAAAAATGGTCCTTTTCAGGATCGCCATAAATTTGTAAAAGAGTATTTTTTGGATATTTGTTAAGGTCATCAATCGGATGTCAGTTCCCAAGATAGAGCTGGAATTAGGGTGTAACAGCTTTTGTAAACAATGACTTCTTTCGATGATCACCACCATCAGGTAGGGTAAGACTTCCCCTACCAGATTATTATAGCTCTTCGTGAGTCACTGTCGGCCATCTATGTCAAGCCCGTCATACTAAGGCTCTGAACCATTTGGTGGATTATTTTAACTTTTGGTTAAAATTTGACCGATGAAAAGTTATCGATTAACCCTGCTATTCTCGCTTAAATTCCTATTCCTACACAAAATACAAGCTCCTGCTGCAGGTCACAAATAAGATTTATTATATAAGACCACGTAGTCCTACGTCACCGTTGCGTACAACCCCATAGGGCTGTCCCTTGTAGTTTTTTGTTATATATTATCTCGATTGCGATCAAGCTATATCCTCAACCGTGTATATTGCAACAAAGCAGGCAAGACTGACGACTGACACCAGACTAAAATTTATATACTAATATTTTCCTTTGAAATTAGCCTGAATTGATGCATGTTCCATTCAGAGTAGGCCCCCGGAACTGGTTTCCGGAAGATCCGGATACTGACCACTTTGGCTAGACTAAAACCAAAGATATCTTATTATCTAGATATCCCACTAATCAATTCCTCAAACAAGGCAATGGATACACCACCCTTATGCCATCTGGTCAGTGCACATTGAAACTGTTGGGAGTCCCCCCCACCCCAAGTTTACCACCAGGGCTCAATAACTGACATGTGTCAGCATTACAGATGTCAGCGTGGATGTTAATGTTCAGCTGAGGGAAGAGGACGATATCATCCTCGATGATCATCATTTAATTGCGATAGCAAGATTCTCACTTTTTTTAGATCTTCAATCATTACAACGAAAACTTACTGAGAAAACAATCACACATCCAAGATCGCATCATGATGGGCTTGTAATATGTTTTGCTTTCGAGTGAAAGAGTTTACAATATCACCACCGGTATCAGTAAGATGCAAATCTCTTATAGTAATTGATGATTTGCGAAACTGTTGCTCAAAATAACCTTTATACGCATAGCAGTATACATTCCCTCTCCCTAATGGGGTGTGTACACTTATGCTATTTCACTAGCGCTAATAAGCCAGCTGCTAGCAAAAAAGGTCACTAACATAATGTAAACTGGGCATCAGCGTCGTCCAGCATGAGATTTCAGGAGCAACTGAAATTCGTGCTAGTTGGCTACTTTCCTATTTCATAACGTAGGAAGGTATTTGTCAACACAGGCCAATGTAAACGCAATCAGAAGCTGCCGAAGCTGAGTGATGACACCGCTTCGTGTTTTGATTTATGCTGTACCGTCCGCGCAGTGGTGTGGGTTCCTACATGCATAGATGTGGTGTGCGTGTTTTCTTCCAACCGCTGCAGTTCAACGTTGTCTCGTCACAAACCGTTTGGCGCTGTTATCTGTCTCTATGAATTCCAAAGAGTGAAAAAACTTAAAATGATCTCTTATACTCCATCTGCAACTTCATGTATTGCGTCACATGCCCAGGTTCTATTAGATGGAAAAGTGGTCATCGGATCCGGTGTCCGAAAGATCCGCATACTAATCACCGTGCCGTGACTGGAAATAGAACGATCTCTGATACTCCTTCGTAGTTATTTGGCCTATGCTGAATGCCCATATTCCATCAGACAAAAAAAGGTCCTCAGAAGCAGTCTCCTGAAGATCCGGATACTGACCATTGAGGCCAGATTACAACTTGGAGAGATCTCTAGCACACATTGATGTGTCGCATACCCATGGTCTATCAGAGAGAAAATGTGATCCTCCTGA